AGCAAATGCAATAGCACAACGCCCACTCCCAGTACGCGGTTTGTTCGGTCACCAAATTCGAGCTGTGCCAAAGTTGAGTGCCTGAGAATCCTGGGTAACGTCTCGTCGAGAATGGCTTCAAGCTCTGGGTAGAGATCCACCCTCAAGTCCACCAGCCAGTCGCAAACTCGGTTCCCATCTGGACGACGTGCTCCAAACTTGGCATTGAACGCCGCCACAACCGGATGCGCATCGTCCCACGCAGTAAGAACTTCTGCGAGACGTGGAATTGCAGAGAGAAGGATGTCGCGTGTCTCCTGATTGTCATGCTCCTCGAAATTCGGGTCCATGTACTGAGGAAGGCGAATTTGTGCAATCTGAAACGACAATTAAGTTTGGCGATCAGGGACCAATTAGCGGCAAACCTCATTGTCTTGGAGGTGTCCGCGCCGAGAGAGCGTCTTGGATATCTTCGGGGCCAAGACTGAACGTTGGCAAAGCCGACAGGGCGGTACAGGACAGCCAGCGGAACAAAAACTCCACCGATTTGTCGTTCCTCTCGAACTTGTGAGACAGACAAAAAGCAGGATGCCATTTCGAGTTGTCAGGGAGCAATAGGACATTATCAACCTCATGAAGTCTACGAGAATTTAGTTTAGCAGATCGCCCAACTCAGTGTAGATAGAACCACCTTTCTCCTAGAATTTCATACTCCTCGCATTCTCTGCATTTAAATTCGCTTGCTGAGCTATGATTCACACTGGCGTCCAAACATGCGACATGCGACCACCAGTTGCAGAGCCCGCATTGCACCAACTCATAGGATCCGTACGCCTGTTGAGTTTCGCCATTGGGACGGTGTATCCCACAACCGTTGCACCAAATGGGACTGGGGGGCTTGGGTCCTGAGTTCGTCGTGGAGCTCTCACTTGCGTCGATTTCCATGCGCGGAATCGTGTCAGGAGGCGCGGCGGAAAAGTACTCCTCCCCAAGTAGAAGATTCTCGACTTCCGCCATGTCTTCTGAATCACATTCACTCATTGGCTTTTCGTCATCGCAATCGCGTTCAGGTTGAGTTAAGCAGTCGCGTTCCCGGCTTGAAGCAACGAATAATGAGTTCATTGTTCCCAGCCCAGTTGAAAGCATCTTCAGGAAGGAGGAACAGGAAACGTTTTGAGCTTCTTTGTGGTACACCTTGCGAAGAAAAAGTATGTGATCAAGCGGGAACACTGAAGCAGAGCTTTCGAGGAGCCACAAACCTTTGGTAGCGCAGCCCTTCTTTGTCCCAGGGTCGTCGTCAATGAGAAAGAGGGATTGAAAGACTTCAAAGTTCCGCAATTGTCATTTCGTCACGTGCGAAAAGCTGCGAAAAGCCTGTTTTTAAGCTTGTTCAGACTGAGTTCCAAGATAGACCGGGCAGTCGTAAGCGATGCACAAGGCGATGCGTAAAAAGAGTTGTATGCCGCCGGAACCTTTACAATCTTGTTGTGTGTGCCACTGTACATGGAGGATCGGCAGACGCGTGTCGTCACATTAGCTGAGCGTCAGTCGTCACATCGACCTCTCACACCGACCACAGGAACGGCAGATAGAGGTCTCAGGCGCATACGCCGAGCCTCTCACCCACTGTATCTCAATATGCCTCCGAAGCGAAAGCGAATGAAGAATGAGGACCCAGGTGGCAAAAGGAGGGGTCGGGAACTGAACGAGAATCATGCTTCAAAAAGCACTCCTACCCTGTTGCAAGGGTACAAACGGATGGACATCCGATGGTGCGTGTTCTTTATCTCTTGATTATCCATTGCTCATCCTTCTACTCAAGGAAGTTACCTCGCGGCGCTGCTGCCGCTGCAAACCGATCACGTAAGCTCAAGCGAAGGGAACTCCCAGTAATTATCGACTCTGAGGAAGAAAGTGATATTGAACCATTACTGCCCCTCAAAATCACCAGTCAGAGTCGCAGTCAAGGAAAGAAGGAAGGCAGAATCATCAGTCCTGCACCATTCAAGTGCGTCTGTTTCCTGTTGCCAATGTTCTGTTCATTTTTTAGGAAGAAGGTGGTGGTTGACATCGGTGACGACGATCAAGGAAACTTTGGGGATGGTGAAGGAGAGGAAGATGATGGAAGCGTAGGGGGTGATGCAGGGGAGGAAGGCAATAGCCCCAGGACGCTCGAACGACACTCTTCTTTCGTTTGCTCGATTGGAAAGAAATGTCGCCGAGGCTATGGGGGTCTACTGCAAGGGATTGAACCGCAGCTCAGAAGAGTGAAGCTCAAACAAGTCACCGCCGACCCCGTAAGGACAATCGATGGCGGCGAAGTGGACCCTGATTGGTGCACGGCGCCGTTGTGCATGCGCTGTCGCGAATACTACTTTCACAAGCTTCTTAACTTCGACCTATCTATTCATGGCGTATTGGATGCATTGTTCACTGATGATGAGTAAGTTGACTATTTGTCTGTCGCTCTCTTCCGCTAACTTGCATCGGTTACTTTAGGGAAGTTTCTCCCAGTGTGCAGCAATATTGGAGTCCAGGGCCGCAAGGCAGCTTCGACCAGAACGATGAGACGGGGCCAAGCACCAACACCCTTGGCCCCGACTCCTTCCCCTCCCCGACCCCTCCTCGACATCGCCTACAGTCCTTCCCCCGACCGGGTTTTTGACCCTATCGAACTTGGCAGACTTACGCCCCGCAGTCCTACACCCGAGATTGGTCCAAGCGAATTTGACACACTTTCGACCCCTTGTAGTTCTGACGCATATCTTAGTCGAACGCCGAGCCCAACCCCCCAGGTTTGGTAAGACATTGAGATTGCAGACAAATCCGAAGAGGAAAGCGAAGAGAGGAAGTGTCGAAGACGGGTTTTATTTCCGCTAGTTATTGCTCATCTATCGAATCCTTGCCCACTACAACGTTGATTACAGTGATAATATTTATTATATCTCAATCATGATTGATCTACACTATACAACGCAGCTACCCTTTACTACTCGTCCTGATAATCTGAAGCGGCATCCTCGCTATTGCTGTCGGAGGTTACATCGAGTGTTGCTGGCCATGAAAAAGGCGCTTGGGAAGCGATATCCTGTGCATTGGGCATGCGGTTAAAGGTTATCAGTGGGGCCAAATCTCCATCTCCAATCGGTCGACGCCAACGTATTAATTTCAGAAATCTTCGCTCCGAATTCCTTATGCTGCTGTAAAACTGCTGCTCTAACGGAGACTTCCCACGGTAGACATAACTCTTGAGCGGTCTGCCTTCTCCAACAGCTGTGAATGCAGTCATCAGCCTACCCAAATACGTCTCCAGTCTTTCAGCTGTGAATTCGCCAAAGTCAAGATCGCCTCTTGGAGGGTCCTCTCGATAGCGAAGACAGAAACCTGCCATGTGGATAGTAATATGCTGGATAAGGCTAGGTTATCAGACATCAAATGAGGTGACTGATAACATACATGCAAAGTCTGCTTGAAAGAATTTACTGCAGGATGGAGAGTTATGAGGCCTGGAGTACTATCAACCAGCTGTTGAAAATCCCATATTCTCTGCCAAACATAGTCCAACTCTTGGAATCGTTCAACATACATAGGTAGCACCAAGTCATCAGATGAGATCCTGTATGCTTTGCGATCTAGGGCTGGCATGACCACGTTGTATGCCAATAGCACCATAAGATTTTCTAAAGCAACAGGGTCCTTGAGATCGAGAATATCGGAGTGATCAATGTCTGCCCGTAGAATGGCATCCAGTTGCCGTATCAGAAGGCGGCATAGAATCCAGCTAGCCTCCGAATGCTCAATGTTTGTTCCGAATGACATAGAAAAGATGTGGTGCAGTTCGGCTGCAACACTCCTCGCAGCGCAACTAATCGGGAAGTCATGACTTCCTGTGACGATAGTGTCATATTTGCCCCCCACAACATAGTGCGGGAGAAAGGGCCGCAAGATTCTGCAACATAAATAAGACTTGAACTGTTCAAGAAGGATAGACTCACATAAAGCTACTGGGTTCCAATACAATAAACTCCATTCTGTATTGGTGGCTATTCAGCTGGAAAGGGGACCAGGCGTGGTAAAAAAGTCGGGACCACCACTTGCGCGCACTTGGGTTTGGATCCTCAACTTCCCCATCCTCCTCAGGCTTGTCTTTCAGTGGACAGACATCGTTGGCAACTGCCCAGAACTTTTGCCCAGTCTCCACATGGACGTAAGTAGTTCCCATTATATCTACGTGTTGATCGCTTTTGACACCAGCGTTACCGGCAACAAACCATTGCAGGTGCTTCCGTGGAATGTCTACTTCTGGTAGCCCAGGGATATCGCTTGTGTGGACTATTGCGTCGACTTGACTGCTCAGTGCACTGCAAGTAGCTTCAGCATAATCATCAAAAGTGAGGGCGTCCTCACCTGATTTTTGCGGGACGCAGCACATTGTGGTGACCCATAGAATTGGAAAGAGCGTTACACATTGGTTTCCCATCACGAATGTCTTGTCAGGAATGAGTCTTCTTAAGGAGTCGGTGAAGACACCTGGGTGCCCATCTTGCACATAAACGTTATCTACCAGTGTGAGTCAGTTGCAGGGGGAGAATTATTATGGGTGAAGAACCTTGAATAGAGACGCATGCATCTAGATGACGCAGCTTCCCAAGTAATGTTGTGAATTCTGCCGGGCTGGCGGGATAATCAACAACGAGAAAGGATCTTTGACCCATGATATCAAGTAGGAACTTGTCATCGCGTTGCATAAAGTCATCATAAGAGATGACAAAAAACTCGGAGCGCCGCGGGTCGTTGGATAAAGTTGGACTGCGAGCAGACGCTAAGAGATGTAATGGTTTTTTGACTCCATCGACGTCTGTCCCGTAAGGAGTATCTTCCACCAACTTTTTCATCACCTCTGCTTCCTAGGCTGTCCATTAGTACCGCGAGAGAGGATATTTGCAATCTAACGCACCTCAAGGCTATACCCATACCAGTCATACTCAGCACTGTTATCAGGTCCGAAGTGGCCCATAACGTTAGGCCTCTGCAACTGAATCTTTACACAAGATTGCAAGGGTTCTCTCTGACAATAGGTCAGAGCTAGGGTATTCCTTGAGCTTAGTCTAATACTTGCCGGTGCGAATTCAAGCACTTCCTCCTCCTCCTCTATCTGGCGCTCAAGAGTTTCAATCCGGTGAAACAACATAATCACCCGCTTCCTTGCTGCAACTCGCTGCTGCGATGATAATAACGACTCTGGATGCATATGGGTAAATCGACTCCACTTTAGAGGTTTAAAGACGCGTTTGTATTTGGTTTGGGCAATCTTCCAGAGGCGCAGTAGGGCACTCATTCTGCATTTCTGGAGCTGCACAGCACAACGTCTTGCGTTCCATTCCGGTAAATCCCCCAAGTCCGAAAGTCCACCAGTGACTTGGCGCTGCTCGTAGGCTTTCGCTGCGGTTGGGGCGTCGTTGCCTAGCGGTGAGCGGGCATAAACCGCAAAAAGGGCAGCAGGCTGGTTTTGCTGAAACTGGTGTGGATAATTCGGAAAACGGAAGCCGGCAACCTCCACTGGCTTCAGCTTGGTCACGGAATTCGGGTGGTTACTACCCCGCTTTGCTTGGCTTGATTTTAGTTTTCTAGGCTTGAGGTCGGGCTTGGATTTCTTCGGTTTTGTATCCTTCGACTTGGGCTTCCTAGGCTTCGCATCATCGTCGGCGACGCGGCGGCGGCGAACTGCTGTTCCTGGTCAAGAATTTGGTCAAGGGAATTGGGAGGAGCCGGTCCCATGTTCGCATCTTGGTCAGGGATATGAGAAAGGGGCGGTCCCGTATTTGCATGCTTCTCTAGTTAGTTTCCTGAATTTGTGCGATGGGTAAGACAAACGTGTGATGGGGTGTCTCTGTTGTCAAGACGCTTTGCCGGATGTTCAATGTAATCGCTACCTTCATCTTCTTCTCTAAGGCGCTTGGCTCGTAACTCCTCGTTGGACATGGATATTGATTGGTTGGACGCTACTTAGCAAGTCAATAATCAAGCTAAGAGTTGAAGGAGCCACTAACGATGGTCGTTATCCTCCATAATTTCCAGGGAATACCACTCCATTGCCATAGCAGTTGGAATCCGAATTGGGTCCATGAGCCACTGGCACAACCCTTTGAGGTGTTGGAAGTGTTGGGAGGCCTTGAGCTTGTGAAAAAGCAAGGCCGGATGAAACTCTCCTGCCGCTGAGGCAAACACTAGCTTCCACACAACGTCTTCCAGCTTCCATAGGAGGGAATTGGGGGAGCTGCGGTACTGTACTATTCTCTGCAACTGTAAAATGAAGTCAATGGAAACAGGTTAAATGAGCATGAAGACACACATCAAATGTTGCGGCATCCGTAGTAAGACTCGTATGACTACCAGTGAGATCACGGTCGTCATTTAAGATGATTAAGATGGTTGAACCCAGCGCTAGTGATAGCGGGCCTGAAAAGCCGTCATGAATACGGGAAATACTCCAATCTTTTGGAACAGGCATGCCAAGTCTGTTGTGAAACTTGACCAGGCTGGCTTGGACACCGTCTCGATCCAGCAAGTTTGTTCCCTGAGCGAAATCAGACGCATCGAGAAAGTTAACAGACCCGCTCACCTCGCTTATGACATAATATGCGAAGACTAAAAAGACGCCATTGATGGTCCGTTGAGCACCTTTTGCCTTGGGCGGCGCCTCTAAGGCTCGGAGGAAGTGCAGTGAGTTGATTTCACTGTGGTCGGTAGGGTTTTGAAATTCGGCGCTTTTTACATGAGCGGTTTTTATATTCTTCGACTTTTGTACGATTGCCTGTTCGACGCGGTCAAAGGAGTCCATTGCTCCTCTCGCAATATCTAGAAGAGAATAGCCAATCTACCAAGTCTCATCAGCGCACAAGTAGATATGAAAGGCAGATTGTACGAACATGACTCAGCCGATCTACGAGGGAATCAATGCTCGAACTCAGCGGTGGACCTAATATCTGTTCCAATTTGGGTTGCTTGCGGTCATCCAAGTAGTGCTCTGCGGTTTCTCCCAGATCGATGTTGCACCGAGAACCTCCAAATTCGAGCTGAACGTCGAGGATGAGCCCAGCGAGGGTGACGTGATGAAAAGGCAGGCGATGTTTTTTGCCATTGTGGGCGACCAATAATCGGTCTTCGTCTTGCCGGTGGAGGACGTACTTGGAGATATCCGTCCAGGCTGATGAAAAGACCCTAGACGCTTCAAAAGCCTTGATGAGGCGCAAGGCCCCTTCTGGGTCAAGATGTTCTGGGAGCTTTTCGGTTATTCGGGGGTTGAGCAACCGACTGGTGAGCCAGTGTCTGAAGGTAATGCCCCGCTCCCCAACAAAACTTGGAGTGCTGTTTCTGGCTGGTGCTCCATCCTAGGCCCAGCTAGGGCGGGTCGGGTGGGATACGCCGGCACTGACGTTTGGCTGAGTTGATCCAAATAGGCGCTTCAAACGATGAGCATATGGCAGTGAAAGAGGACGACCACGTACCTTGATTGGACAACGAATATTTGGAGTCGTGCTCGCCGATAGGAGTTGTGCCGAGTACTAGAGACTGGGCCGCTGTATGCAGCTGGCACCAGTAGGAGTGCGTTGATGAAGTCGAGTCTGATCTGGAGCCTGAGAAAGCCTAAAAGTGTGAATCACTGAATGATTTGGGTTGAAAATTGGTACAAAATCACACGGAGAATCGGCGCCTAATATGGCGAAGATCAGGGACCTAAATACCTATCGGCCGATCGGCGGCAAGGAAACGATACATTCAGACGTGTCAAAAAGTCCTACGAGCACAACAAATACACTACAATGAGATGTAACGGTGCAGATACTCTCGGCTAACTGTATCTAGAGCATGAGTGGTACGCAGCGACGTGGGGAAAAAATCGAATTTTGGATTTCCATGTTGTCTGAGTCCACAACTCTTCCACTTTGTATGCTTCCATCACTGCAAGCCGCTCCGTGAACCAACGCTCACAGTTAGGAGACCACCAGCCAACATGCAGACCAGAATTGAAGAAGGCGCTTTGTTGCGGCCACCAGGAAACCCGTGCAACCATATGCTTGCCCACCACATTATCAACCTGATCTATAACCTAAGTGAGAAAAGAATCAAGATGGGACTAGAAACGCACTGGAAAGTTGGACAGAATAAACACCACAGATAAGATCCTCTTCTTGCTGAGTCAAACGCTGGTAATATACAGGACGTGCCACGCCATCTCGATCGCGGACTCTGGCCCCAGCAGACCGACTATCAGCATCATCCAGGAGCAAACCGTCCAGAGGTTCACTGATGACGAGTCGAGCAATGCGAGCAATGATACCGCCTGCTTGAAGGGCCAGCACACCCCGCGGAGAATGCAGAAATCGATCGCGCAGCGTGACATAGGCATCAAAATCCACTCTCGTCGGGCGATAGGATTGGCGGCGAAATCCCAGACGAAAGCACCTTGGCATCGCAGGCTGGATTTGGTGGGTGGGTCCTTCAATACCAGCATAAAACTCAGTCCCAAGCAAACCAAACTCCTCGGCGATCTCTTCGAAGGATGAGAATTGCATCCTTAGGATATGGAGGACAGAGCTCGCATTGAAGAGTATAATTCTCCGAGGGTCTCCGCTGCGCATCTTGATTATGAAGACATGCGTCTCGTATAGTTCTGCCTTGACTTGGAAGAAGTACTGCACATCGACACAACGATTCTGCCAAAGTAGGTCTGGCTCCGATAACAAATCCATGAGCTCTGGTTGGATGGTCCTCAAGGACTTCTGGGTGCGAATAGACTCAAGTAATGCCCTAACACCTTCTTTTGGAGACCCAGCCAAATCATCCCCTAGAGCGTTGAGCGCTGTTTTTTCGGTCGTCTTATTGGCATAGGAGCCATCGTGGTCTGTGTAACCAAAGCGAATTTGAAGCATGGATGTAGCGAAGTCCTTGGTAACTGGGCCGCCTTGCAGAGTGATGCGGTCCGGACTTGTTGGCTTGGACTTGTCGGCTGCATAATATTCAGCAATATTATCAAGCGCGGCATTCCCATTACTGAGTAGAGCAACAATGCGGGTAGGAAGCCCCTGAGGGAGATTAGGAAAGCCGTCGTCGTTGCTTTGGGATTGAGCCTCCTCAACAGCGTTGGAACTTGATGGGGCTTCGGCCATTTCGGTGTCCTCATTCCCACCGCCCAAGTAGTCCCAGTACCCATCTTGGAAACATGCCGGGTCCTCGCTAGCTGGAATTTGGGGGCAAAGATCCCACTGATTGGAAAAGCTATCATAGATCCGTTGATTTGGAGAGAATGTATCCCACGAGTCAATTGCGAAATCGCGGTTGATTGGGCGGCGAATGAAAACTTCATCGTTGTTTGTATCTTCCCAGATAAAAACTCGTGCAGACGCATTTCTACCTGGTGGCCCACCGCCCGCAGCATGGGCCTCTCGTTGAAGGCGGCTTTTCTTCTTCTCTGGGCTTTCGCGTGCCTCTGTGCGCTCGTTGGCACGTTGACGGCGTGCGAGGAAGTCTACAATGGTTTCTCCCTGGCGTTGACCGCTACCGGGATCAACAGGGACAGCTTGCGGAACAGGAGGAGGCAAGGGAGGATCTGCACGAATTGTGCAACGTAATAGAGGAGCTTGTGGAGCTTCAGGACGGTAGTCCGGATTAGGAAGAACACCGAACAGGCGAATTGTGGAGTCGATGAAAACCCATTCGACAGTGGGATTGGGCTCTGGTAACGCACGAAATTGATCTAAATCGCCATGGTAAATCTCGAGACGATATGCACGAATGGAAGGCAGATTGCTGAATTGGAGACCGCTTGTAGTGCCAAGTTTGAAGTACAATGGCACGGAGAGCTTGAATTTGAGGATGAGCGTAAAGAACCAGTCTATTCGAGTGAATTCGGCCAGAGAAGTCGTAAGATCTATTATGCCGCCCACTGGCGCGGGAGACACATTCCGTTACAGCATCTTCCAAAGCATCCCACAGTTGAGGTTCCAAGTTGACTGCTTGAAACAAGGTTTCACGCCATTTTGGTTGTTTCGTCGCGTCAAAGGCATCTGATCGTTCAAATCCATCGAGGGCAAGCATTCTAATCGAGATGCCAGCAAGAAGGGGAAGAAAGGCGTCGCGAGAGTTGGCAACAGCTTGAGTCAACTCCTCTAAAGAGTCGTAGGTTTTTGAGTAGCCGAAACAGATTGGGAAGTTATGAATGATGCCTCGATATTCACCAGGACATAGTTGGCGATGTTTCGAGTCTACCCACCGGAAGACATTCAGCAGAAACCCCTCGAGTTTAAGCCATTGATCAGTGGTTTTCTCGGGGAGCCGTACACGCTCCCAGGTCTTGTTGGAGTATACAGGGATACTGACGCGTTGTGAAGGAAGGATGCGCCTGTTGACATCAAGACATTCGAATAGTGGACCCTTGAAGATATGATAACGAGGTAGGAGAAGGAGATGGGGCATATTGAGGTTTGCCCAGCTGGTGCAATGAATCTCCCCCATCATGGTCTTTGCTGATTTCGGCATGGAAGAGTGTTTCGGGGAGGGGATGTTTTGCATGAAATTCCTGTCCCCGTTGAATGCGACGAAGGCAGCACCGTCATGGCGAAAAGAGGCCGGTGAAAGCACTGGATTCGTGGTAGCTTGCCTAGATGCACTGGTGAGAAAATCTGGGAGATATCAAGCTGTCGGACACTCACTTGTTGTCGCCACGTTCGTCTAGTGAGCTGAGCGGGACAAGCCGTAATGACGGAGCCATGATTTCGACGGTCGGAGGCGTTGGCGGTACACACCCGGCGAGATCGTGGAAGCAGTGGCGGCAAACAACCTGTGAGCTTGATGAAGGAGCAGCCTGACGTATGCGTCTAGGTCTGCAGAGTTCTTGGTCGCTATTCTGTCGGAGTTGAAGTCTGGATGTTCGTTAGCGCAGGTCAGCCGACAACAAGGTGAACGGACATTGAGAGGTGGGCGGTACGGATCGTTTGCTGTCAGAGGCTCAACGTATGCGTTTGAGAACTCCGGTGTGGTGGATGCGAGAGTGGATCGACGTCCTTGAAGTTTGGGAAAAGAATGTCGGCGCGGCGTGTCACATCATGGCCGTGACACGAGTGACGCCGACGGCGATACCTGAACTTGACTTGAACCTTCAAGATCCATAAGACTGGAGCCAGCTGCATACAGCGGCACAGTCTTAAACTCCGAGTCCCTTAGCATAATCTGCGATGGCCTGGAACTGGAGTCAACCGTGACACAATCGTCTTCGCTGCTGAGCTCTTACTGCCTCAAACCATTTTTGGAGCTCAGTCACTCGCTCTCACTACCCGCTATCCGTAAATCACTTCGTTTATCTTCCAAGAGTATCAAGTAACTGATAATTCAAGTCATACGATCAGTTGCCGCGACAAACAACGCGAAGGTTTCTGGGGAATCTTCAAGCTCTCTCAATTGCTTGACAGTGCAAGACTGAAGCCAACGCTGGTCATACAGACACTTTGGTAGTCCCTTGGGAGGTTGCCACGTCCCGTAATCCTTGCCGCGAGCGCGTGGACGCGTGGAAGTCCCTGCATGAATATCTTCAATTCGAGACATCTCGTTGTCGATAATCTGCATCAAATTAGCCACGGAGGGCTCACGCCGAATCCAGAGTTTGATGACGAATATCTTCGTCTCCTGCTCCTCGACAAACAAGTCCGCGTTTTCCTGTCCCAGTTTCTTCAGTAATCTTCACGTTTCCAGACCGTTGGCTCCATCTTCCTCTTCTGTTGCAAAACGCCGCTGGTATGTCTACATGCTTTCACGTCAGCAAGGAACTCCTCTGAAATTATTAGGCACATACTCTGTTCTGGCCGTTAACCCTCTTGGAACGCAATAATCGGCGTTCTGTGAGAACAACTTGAGCCCGAAGTCGCGCTTGTGTTGAAACAAATTCCAATCACCTCCGATCCTCTCGAGCTGCTCGCGCAAGAGAAGCTCAGAAACTGGCGTTGAATCAATTCCTTGCCAACGCAATTGGCTCCCCTCAGCGTCATCGGCAATCGCGTCATTCTTAATTCTCTGCATCTGAACATTCCAAGCCGAATGCAAGTACTACCCTGGCCCGAAGTCCCACTGAGCAAGACCAATTGACATGACGATACTCGGCTCATCTTCTGGCTCTTCCGCAAAACCGCTTGACGCTTCGGATGACGCGGGAGTGCGAGAGGTCCGAACGCCTTGTCCAACGAGAGCTGCTCGACAATCCTCAGAATACCGTCGACATCGACATCAAGTGTATTAGCGACATTAAGCAGCGCCGATATGTTGCTGGCCGGACCAGTAGCTCCCTTAGAAATCGGAGTCGGCGCAGATTCGGGAATGGGAGCAGGATTTAGAGGAAGCTCGGCCCCTGCCGTGCCGCTATTCTTCAGCATGTCCATGCTGATATGTCCTCGACGTCGGGGCGTAGATTTAGTTGGGTAGCCTGGCGTGAAGCGGAGTTGACTTTCTCGCGGACGTGCAGAATCACATTTCAATCATCAACTTAGCTTCTTGGACCTCCGCATTCAGATCCTCGATATTGGGTCTGCTGCGCCGCCATGACTGTCTGAGCCTGATCGAGCGATGGGTGTAAGTTCCGAGCATCAAAGAAGGGTGAAAGGTGGAGATGGATAGTACGGTCTTAATCCACGCGTAATGGAAAAGGGACGTGTTCAAACTCGAAAGCGAGATGGAGAATGGGGAAGGAGGGTTTAGTATGCGCGTTGGAAAAGGACGAGTTGGAACAGGAAAGTTTGGTGGGGAGCGCAGGGAAGATGAGCTAGCGATTCTTATTGTGCCCATTACGCACCAGCTGTACTAAGATATTACAAATAAAATATCAATTCCAGGCCACCTGTTTTGCGGGGTTTGCTGGTGTGTCCCCCTTCATGGTGCTGGTGCCAGTTGCATACAGCGGCCTAGCCCAGCTGTTCGTAGGACTCGAGGTCGGCGTCAAAAATCATGTCTTAACCCAGGCTGACCGCTGTCACTCAATGGCCCCAAAGCGTGCTGCTCAACTTCTGAAATCTCTGGGTACGCGAAGGATTGGCCCGAATGCTTTGACTTATCACCAGTCTGTCTGTATATTGGTAGGTTTTGCGCAAGCTGCCATCACTAATATCAGACACTGTATTTCGATGTCTTCCCTATGAGAACCGCCTCTCTTCGCACTTTGAACGACATGAGGCGGCTTTGCGTACAATTGAGACATTGCGCTGGGTGTCTTGTAGCCGTATTCGTTTCACACGCGCTCGGTAATCCATGCCGTCCACTCTCCCTTCGTCTGGTCTAGCGCAACAATAACCACCGTCACATGTTATCGCAACCACCGATACGATGTAAACATTGAAGACGATGGATTTCGTTATTGCCCAGAAACGAGCTTAGACGTACTGAGCATCCTTGCACGAAGTGGCCTGTGGACATTCCCCCCAGCGAACTTGGCCACGGTGCTTCCTAAACAAAATCAGTAGAGACATTGGTGGTGTTTTGAAGTGCAATCGTTCTATTGATTTTGAGCACTGAAATCAAGTAGAGATACAAACCGACAGCCCATAGGCAGACGACACAGAAAACAGAGGATTGAAAAGAGTGGTGAGCCTGTGCTTCGAGTTGGTTTTTTGAAATGGCCGATGAGCGACGAGCATTGAGACTTGGGACTGACAGAGCTGAGCACCGTACGATGCTGCACAGCGGTTGCAAGATCGCAAAGCCTCTACAGCATAGGACGCCTGACGGAGGTGGTGGAAGGAGAAGATGAGGTTTGATGGGATAGCACGTGCTGGTCAATGTCGACGAGGATTGCGCGAGTACGTGTCGGACCCGCTCGCGACGCGACTTTGAGCTCAAGTTCAGAGCTGGATGCAATCTGAGGCGAGAAATAGGTAGATACATGCGGCCCGCTATATGCTGCCCAGTCTCCACGCCAAAAACGCGTCGGACAATCAGTAAGAGCGCCGCCAGGTAGCAAAATCAAGTCTTGATTGGAAAGAAAGGCATAGATTGTCCAAGTGGAAGTGATACAAGCAGAAGGTAAGAGTAGTGGACAAGAGATTACTCGTATGAATCGAATTCACCGTGGTACGTGAGATAGAAAAAGCGTCCCATAACGATGACTGCAAAGGCACGGAAATAATTGTTGGTGAAAAGGAAGGCGAGAAGGCCCATGCAGCCAATAAAGTAGATCCAGCCTTCCATGGGGTCAAAGGGTACGTCTAGCTTAAATTCTAACAGCGGGGATGAGCAACGAACAAATGAGCAAGTCAAAAACGCACTGTGCACATGTACAACGAGCATGGTATGGGGGGGTATCCGGTATTTCGGTGAAAGGAGACACAGAAACGCGTCGTTGGAGGCATTGCTTAGCAAGGCGTTGAGTTGGTTCGGTGGGTGGTTGGGATGATAGTGGTTGGTTAGGGAGCGATAGAGTGCGCTGGGAGTTTAAGAATGTTTTGCACAAAGAGACTGTCTCCCAACTGTCTTCTTTGTGCGGGCAGCGAGAACCCTGCCAACGCCCGAAGGCAGACAGACAAAGGGATCATGCAGGGTACTGTCACAGATAGAAAAAAAAAACGATGCATGTGTGTCCTATAGGTTGCGAGGGTGGTGACGACGGGTGAAGACGAGAGACACAGATTGAGATGACTGTGTAGTGTACGACGCTGCGCAGTGGTTGCACGACAGGGAGAACCTTGGCCGCTGTGTACGACACTTGACGGTGGGGAAGAAGACGAAGGCGTGGTTTGATGAAATCACACGTGTGCTCCCACGGGTACTAACCCAGGCTAGCGGGTAGCGGGTCGCGGGGTCGCGGGTCGCGGGTTGCGGGTTGCGGGTTGCCCATCAAATCTTACCCTCGAGGGTGGAACTGAGAAAGGTCAGCGAGTGTCATTGCAGAGCAAAGGATGCACTGACCTGATCATAGGTCATGGTTTCCACGGTCGTCCAAGTAGCGCGACTATTTTATTCCTCTAGTTGATAACGGCGGTGGTAGAGCTGTAAATTCCTGCAGGCCAGAAGGAGAAGTGAGCCCGAGCATAAGCAGCTTGATTGTTGATACTGAAAGTAAGTGTTGAGAGACGGGAATAGAACAATGGTGTTGAAAACTCACCTCCAGCGTATCGCTAGCGCACGCGACAGAAGGAATCAGGACAACCCCATCTCAGCAGTTGGAAAACGCGCCACGCGTCTGGCGCAAAACACCTGCGAGAAGAATGAGTTTTGACAAGACAAGAAAATTGACGCAGAAAGTGCTTACATAAGCACGCGCGGAGATTCCAGGCGCATTTTCGACCACGATAGATTCCGACTTCAAGTTGGGATGTTGTTCAGTGTAAGTTGACGCTTGATCACAAATTCGACTCCGCCAATAACGTAGACATTATTGTCGCGTTCAAGTCCAGAACTTGAATTGAGCGCCGACTCCGACTACTAACGGTGTCGCACAACGACTGGGCCTTGGAGTCGGTGGAGCTAATTTGCGCGAGCGTTTCTTGCTTACGGCCTACCCGGAAGCAAAAGAAAGCTGCGATGACTGCCGAAATGACCGCAAGCCCTCCGATTACCCCACCAGCGATGGCTCCCGATGAACATTGGATGAGGAAGAATGGCCTGATGAATTTCCACGTTCGAGGAGATGAGTTTGTTGGTGAAGAAGGCGATGGTGCTTGTAGACAGAACGAATGTGATGGGCCTTGTAGGCGGAAATGTAGCAATTAGCGGGGCCCAGAGGTGACATTGGCC